CCCGGAAAAATACCCCAGCCGGTCCCGAGCATAAACCGTTGCGAGGAGTTATCAGACGTCAAGTGAAAGTGACCGTGCGAGCCGGCCGTGAAGTATGGTGGACACAGAAAGCCGGTAATGCCCGGAGATTATTTCAGTTGATCCGTGCGACCGGTCTCCGGAAACCACCTGTGAGTGAAACCATGAAGCATCAGAATGGAACGACCATCTCGAATAGGGAAGAACGCCTCGACCGATGAGCTGAATACTTCGAACAACAACTGTCGTGACCACTAGCCGGCACCCATCTAGAGCCGGTGAAATAGAACCCTGGACGGTGAAAGTGGGACCGCCTACGATCTGGAATATGCAAACGACATCGTTCTCATCTTTCAAGAGACGCAGGTGTTTTTGGCTGCACTGTCCTTTGGCATGAACTTTGCATCCACAAAGTGTAGCGTTAAGCTCGTGGACATGTAGTCAACGAACCCTCCACTTACAATCCAGAGAGAGGTAATGGAAGTTGTGGAGTGTTGTACGTATCTTGGAAGTTGTATTAGTTCTGATTGTAGTGTGACAGATGAGGTCAACGCGCGAATCTGCCAGGACGGGTCGCGTTTCCTAATTTGAGACACCTATGACGTCAAAGTGGTGTATCCCTGAATATCAAGGGACGTGTGCATCAAGCTACAGTGCGGTCCGTTTTGTTGTATGGCTGTGAGACTTGGCCCGTTCGAGCAGCGGAACTGACACGCCGGCAGTCGTTGTCTCAGAACCGTAGCTCGTGTGGGTTGGTGTAGGCGAATCCGTAATGAGGCAATTAGAAAGCGCGTTTTCGGTTTGCAACGGGTACTTCCATTGAAGAATGTGTCCAGCACCAGAAGCTGCGTTGGTTGGAATATGTATTACCTATGCCGAAACATCGTTTGCCGAAAAGAGTTCTGTTTTCCATGCCCAATTCAGAGTGGTGTAAACAGAGAGGTGGCCAACCCTTGACTTGGCTGAGGAGTATGAAGGAGATCACGAAACACTTGGGTGTTGTCGGTGCTACTCGCCTTTCAGGATGAATACCCCGTGATCCTCACTGTGCCTGGTTGGAGACACTACAAGATATGGCTGCCAACCGATGTCAGTGGCGTTCTTGTTGTCAGTTGGGGCGAGACGGTTCAAGTGGTTAGAGTGTGGATTTACTGACCGGAAGGTCCGTGGTTCGAACCCGACCTCCGCCTCTCGACTTCCCCTGTCTGGGCTTGGGCAACCTGACAGTCTCTCAGCCCTCGTGCTTCCTTTAGGTTGCATGGCAGCTAGGCAGCGAAAGGGTGTTACAGCTGAACGATTGATTGTTGTGGTTATAGCTGCCACAGCTTCGTTTACCGATGATTCGGGGATGCGGTGTAGATAGCTGCGCATTGGAGACGGGAGCTGATAACTTCGTGCGTAAATACAGCACTGTCAGTTCGGTGTCCACACAACTACCCTGCACAGTTATTTAATGTTGCACATTATAACGCTGGTTTTCATGATGAGCTGTATGAAGTTGTATTCTAGTACAAGGTTCCGTCTTATAGTGATCTCCAGAAGATGAAGTCGTGATCCCAATTCTTTTTCTGTCATCAGTATCATAAAGTATCTGTTTCATGGTTCGTATCACGGGACCGGAATGAAGTGTTGAAGGCTGATCTTTGTTTTTGTGTAACTACTGTATGTTTACTATTGTGGATAGTTGTCATCAACTGGTAGTCGGTTGTGTCTATCAAAATGCAGATATAAGTTTTCATACCCACTAATCCAAGGCAGGCGTTATTGCATTTTGGTGCAAGATAATGTTCACAAGCCTTTTCGATTACTGTAATGGGTCGTAGTTTCCAAATGTGTGTAAACAAACCGTTTATCTCCAACCGACGTTGCTGTTATCAAAAACACTCACTTGTCAATAGGCGTCTGGATGTACACATCGATGATGCTCGCAGCTATTTCTAGTTAGTTTGTTCCGGTAAGCCTGAACTAGACATTTGTAATTTCAGTGTCCTGGTGTAGTGAAAACCTGCCAACAATAACTGACTCGATTCCTGGCACGTTGACATCTCATCTGTTGTGTCTAGTGATGAAAGACGTTCACTTGGTTTCTGAATTATCGCTTTGAAGGGATTACTGCAGCTGTTAAGGCTCATGTAGCTGATGATCATTTTTAGAACCCTCAACTAAGCTGGAGACAAACATGTGTACTGTGGGTAATCGTGTGCCCACTCGGTTTATTAACATGGGAAACTCAAACTGGGGATTTATGCCCTGATCTCTGTTGGGAGAGCAAGTTGCCCCTCGGGGATACTTAGCGTGGTCTTTATCGAAAGTCGGTGGTGCTGATCTCTCAAACGGTATCAGTTTCTAGCCAAATCTTAGGAAACGAAAATAAAGTAATCTTAATTGCCGAATAGGCTTTCTTGGAGGTGGTTTATCGGCGGGGCTACTTTATCTTGGTTTGTCCCAATTGCTTTGAGGTATCCGACTGAACTGGAATGACTTATCCATGTTTCAATGACAGCATAGTCAACAGAAAATGTAAGTAAAGAGACGTTTTTGCCCAACTCTACAGCGTGCACGCACGTACACGAATAAAACTACAAATGTCCGGCGGTCATTTAAGAAATCAGTATTGCTTGGTGAGTCATGGAAGGATATAGTGCGTTGCACCTACTTTCTTCACTACGGACGGGCGAGATGGCTCAAGTAGTTAGAGCGCGAATTTATTGATCGGAAGGTCCGTAATTCGAACCTGATCTTTGCCTCTCGACTTCCCCTGTCTAGGCTTGGGCAACCTGGTAGTATCCCGGCCCTCGTACTTTCTTTGAGTTGCATGGCAGCTAGGCACCGGAAGGGTGTTATACCTGGGCGATTTTTTCACTAGACAACGGATTGTTGAAAATAATGTTGAATACCATTGTCTGGGAAGTGATGTAGTGAGTGAGAGAAAAGGTTTCCGTGGTTGTTCAAGGGCCTGGGCTGTATTTAGCGTGGCCAGTTAATTTTTTCGTTTCCAGCATACTGAGTTTCACTCAGTATCCGTTTTGAAAGCTTCTTTCGTGACAGGACCACCTCATGTTCAATGCTAGCATAGTCCACGTTCTATGACGGCTGTTTGTTTCATTTATACTTCGTTTGTTCTCTCTATATTGGCTTGAGTGTGCGCTCAGTTTAGCTTCCGAGACTGTTTTTGCCTGCGTCCAATATTCCATTTGACTAGATAGTTGTTTCTATAATTCTTCCAACTTACTCTGTTTCGTACCTTTTTTAGCTGCACGTCCTCCGACGTGTCCATCCTATATCCCTCCCATAACCTCAACACATGGAAGTCATCCGCAAAAATGTGAACTCGCTTAGTGAGCAGTTACTCCGTAACAAAAAAACGTCAAGCCGGCCTCTCTCCCTGTTACCAGAAAATGTGGGTGTTATGGTCGTCAGCAAGGTTGTGCCTTCAAAGAAGCTACTACGAGTGCAACTGCCCCATTGCGTCCCAGACCTATCTGTCTGTTTCCTGGTGAAGGATACTGATAAAACGGACTACAACAAAAGTGTGGACGCGTGGAAGTTACGTTGGAAAACCGACTCTATGAAACGCCATTTGTCCACACCTTCTATGCCAACGTTTATTCCTCTCAGAGAACTTAAACTAGCCTATCAGCCGTTTGCTTCCAAACAGCGACTGGCAGCTACTTTTGACCTGTTTTTAGCTGACCGTCGAATTGTGCATCATCTTCCGTCGAAATTGGGCAAAGCCTTTTACGGGTGCGGCCGGGGCAAGATCCCCGTCCCGGTCACGCTGACGAATTGTAACGTCGTAGACGTTCTAGAAAAGGAGCGCAGCACGATACTCTTTCAAATTCGGGGTTTGGGCAGTACAGAATGCGTACCAGTTGGAGATCTCCGTCTCTCACTGTCCCAACTCAAAGACAATATTCTGACGGTGGTGAGTTGGTCTTCCGTGATCCATGTTTTTCGTTTCATTTCTTTTGTAATGATACCTACCCCGTCTATTTCAAGCTGACTTCCATAAGCCTTTCACCTGAAGTTGTATCCTTACCGCGATCGTTAGACTATCGCTAAACCCTAATGTATGCCCGAAGGTAATTTATCCGGCTTGCTAACTATGTTATGCTATTTGCACTAAATACAAACTTAGGTCATTGCTATAGGAGACAGAGATCTATTTAGCTGACACCCACTTTCCTCCATGGCGAGACGATGCATTGGATATTCCACCTCGTGTTGCGCCAAATTTTCGCATGTGTCTACTTCACTTGGTTGCATGGTTTACTTAGTTTAGATAGTGAGCGAATTATCAGACTTTCGTTGTTTGAGTGGTTTTTGAGCAAGCACAAATACGGAACCGGGTTCCTTCCCATAAACATGGCCAATGCGCTCCTCTGTTGGATGTTTCGTTGCTTGAATCACGATTAACCCAACAAGATCAGGTCTTTCTATCTCGAATAAATTTTCTAATGGACTAGACATTCTTGTCGTGTCAAATTTTCATGCGGACAAGTCATTATAAGGTTCTTACTCGAGCCGTTGTTCTGTACCTCACCGTTCCGTCCACAGTTCAAAGAAGTTATTGTCAACACGTTTCACTCCAACTCGTTACTAAATTGTCGTCATAACTATTCACAACGCTAACGTAATCACTTTTTGCCATAACCAGTGGTGTTAGGGTCAGTGGAGTCTGATGGTGCGAAATTTAGCTGATCTCTCTAAGAGGTTGCATAAAAAGACGGTCAGTATGCTTGAGAATTTGACATCTTGTGTGATCCATACGAGTAGGCACCTCCATGGGGACCCTGCTTTTGCTTCAGTGACTCATCGTTTGAACCGCACAGTCCAACACACATTTCAAGGCGACTTTTTGCATCAGTCCCGACCTAAAGCTGCCACCTTGACGTGGTGGTCGGGCTTCAGTGCTGCAATGATCCCGCGGGCTGACAATGATGATGATGATGATGTTTGCATCAGGGACTTTGTCTGGTTTTCTGTTGTCAATCTCCGGTCGACGGGTGGCGACAACTCATTCGTTCTCACGTTCATTACACATTTGTTTGTTTTGTGTTCCTTGAAGCCGCGTTGTACTAGCTACTGGATCGTAATCTGTTCACACACGTGCAATGCAACTGAATGGACAAATGGGAGAAAGCGACGGACTGTACATAAGGATTGTTTAGGTCAAAGTACACACCAGTGAGGTTATCGTTTAGGTCATTGTTGTATCTTTTTTCCAAAAACCTCGCCTACCTATAACTTGATCTGATGGGTTGGTTAAGGTAGCATTTAATCTATATTCACTTTCGAGCAAGTTGGAACCCTGTTCGGTAGCTGGGGACTCTGTAAGTGCATCAAAACTTCGGCATATAATGTATGGTGGCTGTTGGTGAAAGGGGAGAAGACCTGACCTCAACCAATTTCCTCAACCTTCTGAAGTAAAAGCGCATAATTCCCGCGTAAAACGCGCATTAATAGTGGTAGTGTGAGGGTGCTTCTTTACACCTGCTCTTCTCGAAGCAAATAGCATTTACCTGACTAACATGTCACATAAAGCCAGCGAATGTATCCGAACATCCCACCAGCTGACTGTGAACGCAGTCTGTTTTTTACTACTCATCAGTAATCAAAACTAAGTTGCAATCGGGGGTCATAAATTGTGGGAGGCCTTTAGCACAATCAAGGTTCTTTGCTGATAGCATGAATTTGAATCGGAAGCAATCTTACCACTGGTAGTGGGACTTAAATATGTTGATTATATAAGGATAAATGTTTTGTGAAGCAAGTCTGTGTGCTCGCACACTGCTTCAGCCCCTTTTTGATCGCAACTCCCTGTCCGGTTGTTCGTCCGTATGCACGGTGATATTTTAGTTCTCCTTCTGTATCATATTGCATATGGAAGCCGTACAACGCCGTCATCTGATGTAGCCTAGTACTGTACCCATAAACGCACAACAATAGACTCGATACGTATCGCGAATTAGGATGCTAATCTCTGACCGTGGTGTCCCATGTTTGAATCCGTCCCTGTTTTTTTTGTTACTTCTGTTGAAGCCTGACTAATCTGAAGGTGTCCAAGCCATGATGTTAACTCCAGACTGTAGTGCGGCCTCAGTCTCCCCGCCAAAGATAGACTGGCTTGAAGTGGAACCAACTGAAAATAGTCCGTTTTGGACGTGTTCTCTTTTGGGAGAGACTTCCCTGATAAAAATGCTTCGAAAGACCAACCAGAAGTGGCCTTCAATGAGAAAATGTTTCTCAGTGCCTTAAGACAGACGAAATCAACTTACCTAAATCTTCAACATACGGGTGGAACTGTGCATATTTATCAACGGTCTTTCTTTCATCCGAGGGGATATCTTGGAACACTCATTTTTTTAGGAAAATCTGACGAACATAAGTATTTCTGGTGACGGCCGTCTTCTGGGCCTTTTGTTAATTTTGGCTCGGGGTTGGACATTGGAACACGAGTGGATCGATGACGATGTTTATTCAATGGCCATTTGATTGCACACCAAAAACTCACGTGTTCCACTGAAGGATGATACCCCCTTAGATTACATGCCATTCGAACGCAGAACTCGATGAACTAACGCCGTTTGTCACACACTGTACTTTCAAAACCCTGTAACAGCTAAACCAACCTAGCTAAATTCTTTGTATCTATAATCTCAACTGAATCAAAAGCATCTTGGACTTCATCAGTAAGCAGTTTTGTGTAATGGTAACTGGAATCTGAAATACTGCCGTGAATATGGCCGAATTGTGGTAAACATCGATCTAGAAGATTTTAAGCTTTGTTCATTGTAATCTCCCGATTTAAAGCTGCCACCTTGACGTGGTGGTCGGGCTTGAGTGCCGCAATGATCCCGCGGGCTACACTGACTGGAACTTCGTTCCACAAGGTGCAACCATGCCAGGAAGGCCAAAGGGGAGCAGCCAAACCAAGAGCAGCGAGACCCCGTACTACGAGT